ATCTGTTTGTTTTCTTGGCAGTCCATGGTACATTCAATACTCTTCTCCAGCACCACAGCTCAAAGGCGTCAATTCTTCTTCTATCCTCCCTAGTCATTGTCCAACTCTCTGATGCATAACAAGTGATTGCAAAAACCATGGCCTGTATCAGGCGCACCTTAGTCTCCAAACAGACACCGTTGCTCTTCAGTACTTTAGAGAGGTCCCTAGCAGCAGACTTTCCCATCGCAATACATTTTTTGATTTCCTGGCTACTGGTGCCAAGAGTGTTGACCGTGGAGCCGAGCAAACTGAAGCTGTGAACAATCTTAATCTCTATCTCTTCTTCATCCATCCTGATGCTACCGATTGGTCTAGTGTTGAGAATTTTGGTCTTCTTGACATTGAGCCTCAGTCCATATTGAAGGCTGCAGTCCTTGACCCTCTGCAGTAAGTGCATGAGGTCCTCCTCAGTTTCAGCGAGCAGGGTTGTGTCATCTGTATAACACAGATTGTTGATAGATCGTCCACCAATCCTAATGCCACGCTTCTCCTCATAGAGCCTAGCCTCTCGGTTAATCTGCTCTGCATACAGGTTGGAAAGGTATGGAGACAGGACACATACCTGGCATACATATAGCATCTTTAATTATTGACACTCAAGGCTTGAATGTGTCCTTCCGTTTCTTTAGCTTAAGAAATGCCAAATGAGTGCATTCTTTTTTACTTTCTGACTCCAGCCCTTCACACATTTGATTATCATATTTTGCTTTGTCTTCTCAAGCTGACCTTTGAAATCTTCTGTTCAGCTCCTTTATCTCGTGATACATTCCCCTTACTTTGGCTTCTCAGGGTTCTAGTGCAATATTCAAAATATCTCTGACATCCATTTTGGTCTTTCTTACTTCCTCTGTCGTTGTCTTTGCATTCTTCATGGATGATGTTCTTTATATCCTCCCACAGCTCATCTGGTCTTCATTCATTAGTATTCAAGGCCTCAAACCTGTTTCTGAGATGGCTTTTAAACTGGGATATACTCAAGGTCAAATTTTGGTTCTTGTAGACTTGTTTTCATTTTCTTTAGCTTTAACTTGAACATAAAAATGAGTAGTTAATGGTCTGTTCCACAATGACTATGAGACCTAATTTTCACAGCTGATTTTGAGCATCTCCAAAGATTATTTCTGTGGATAAAATCAATCCAATTCTTGTGTAAATCATCAGGTGAAGTCTATGTGCACAATAGCCATTTGCATTTCTCATAAAAGGTATTTGCAATGAATAAATTATTAATCTCTATCCTATATCTCAATCTCATTTCTTTCATCAAATCCATTTTTTCTGATTACTGATTCTTCTTCCTGGTTTCCTACTTAACAATAGTCAACCACAAATTTAGATACTTTGGAATAAAGTAATGAGCTCTGGTGGCCTAGTGGTAAGGAGCTGTGCTGCAATCCCAAAGGCACATGAGCTGAACCCAGCAGCTGCTCCTTGGAAGAAAGATGGGCAATCTCCTCCTGTGCAATTAATTGCCTCTGAAGACTCACCAGAGGGTCAGCTTTGGGTCAGTTCTGACTGAAAGGTAAACAAAATAAAACAAGAGTTACAGAAGACCTTTATCAGGAAAACTACAAAACACCATTACAAGAAACAATAAGAGAACTAACCAAAGAGAAAAATGTTCCCTGCTTACGAATAGGAAGACTCAACATAGCAATCTACCTGTTCAACCCAATCCCAGTACAGATTCCAAATTCATAAAAATGACAATTGGCAAGTTTATTTGGAAAATAAATAGATCCAGAATGTACAAAGCATTTCTGAACAAACAAAAATGAAGTGGGATGCATAGCACTTCTTGATTTCAAGACCATAATAAGCAAAACTTCATGGCACTGGTACAATGACAGGCACATGATCAATGAAACAGAATCAAGAATCCAAAAATTAGCCCATCTGCCTACGGTCAACTGACACTCAGCAGGGAAATAAAGCCTAAGTGGAGGAATGGCAACAACTTCAACAACTGGTGCTGGTAAACTGAGTATCTATCTGCAGGTAACTGAATAAGGATCCACATCTCACGCTATACACAAAAATAAACTCCAAGGTGGACCAGAGACCTAGGGGTAAATCTCAAAACTACAAAGACCATAAAAGACAAAACAGGACCAACTTAGAAGCCCTTGTTGTTGTTGTTGTTACATGCTGTCAAATCAATTAGGACTCATAGGGAACCTATGAATCATTGACCTTGCCATATCCTGTGCCATCTTCATCTCTAACACACTAAAGCCCATTGCTAAAGTCATCATGTCAGTCAATCTCATTGGGGCTCCTCTTCTCTTTCACTGACCTACCATCTTTTCAAGCATGATGTCTCTTTCCAAGGCGTACCTTTGCCTAGCTACATATTCAATGTATCAAAGACAAAAAACACTCTGGTAGCCCTTTTTCCAAGACATACCTATTTGTTCTTTTGGTAGTCTATGGGACAGTCACTACTCTTCTGCAGCACATAACTCAAAGGCATCAATTCTTCTTCTGTCATTCTTATTCATTATTCAGCTCTCAGATACATAGCAAGTGATTAAAAACACCATGGACTAACAGGCACACCTTAGTCTTCAAATTTATATCATTGGTCTTTAGCATTTAGAAGTTCCTGACTACATACTTGCCAAATGCAATATGTCTCCTGATACCTTGACTGCTGGTACCAAGCATTTTTTGGAGGGATCGTGGGGGGCGGAGGGGTGGGGAGTAAAGAAGCAGTTTTGATCCAAGAAAGATTAACTCATTGATAGCTTCAATCCTTTCTCCATTTGTTATAATGTTGATTGTTGGTCCTGTGGTGAAGATTTTTATTTTCTTGATGTTAAGATGTAATCCATGCCTAAGACTACAGTGCTTGATCTTCTGAAGCAAACATTTCATATTCTCCTTACTTTCAGCAAAGTTATGTCATCTTTATGATGAGTCTTCATCCAATCCTGATGCCACATTCTTTTTCTTAGAGTACAACTTTTAAAATTATTTTCTCAGCATACAGATTGAATAGATGTGGAAAAAGAATGAAACCCTGACACCCACCCTTTCTGATTTTAAACTGTAGATTTTCCTCTTGCTCCACTCAGCAACACCTTCTTAGTCTAGGTATAGATTTCACGTTAGCATAGCTAAGTGTTGTAGGATTACCATTCTTCTCAATGTTAGCCATAAATTTTTAGGATACACACAGCCTTTGCATAGTTAATAAAACACAAATAGACATTCTTCTGCTATTCTTTCAGCTAGCATCCATCTGACATCAGTAATGCTATCCCTAGTTCCACTGCCTCTTCTAACCCCAACTTGAACTTCTCATAGTTTCCTGTCAATATACTATCCTAGTCATTTTTTTAAAATTATATTAAACAATACATATTGAATGTCAACATCAAGAAAACAAAGATTCTTACCACTGGGCCAATTGGCAGCATCATGATAGTGAAAATATTGAGATTGCTAACAGCTTCCGTTTACTTGGCTCCACAGTCAACACTCTTTGCACCAGCAGCCAGGAAATTAAAAGATATTGCATTGGGAAAGTCTACTGTCAGAGACCTCTCCAAAGTACTGAAGAGCAATGATATCCATCTGGAGACTAAGGTGCACCTGATTCAGGCCATGGTCTTTGCAACCACTTGCTATTCATCAGAGAGCTAGACAATGACTAAAGATGATAGAAGGAGAATTGATGCCTTTGAGCTGTGGTGTTGGAAAAGAGTATTGAATATACCATGGACTGCAAAGAGAACAAACAGGTTTGTCCCGGAGAGGATGAAAACAGACTGCTCCTTGAAAGCAAGGATTCCGAAGCTTCATCACTGAACATGTTGCAAAGAGGAATCAGTCCTTGGAGAGGGACGCTATGCGTGGGTGGGTGGGTGGAAGGACAGCACAGGAGAAGAAGATCCTGAATGAGATAGATTGATTCAGTTACTGGGGTAATGGTGGTGGGTGTGTCAGAGACAGTGAGATTAGCACAGAATAGAGCCGGGTTTAGTGTTATTGTACACAGGGTTGCTATGACTCACAGGCAACTTGATGGCATATAACAACAACAACAAAAATTATTTTGCTTGCAGACATTTTAATGATATTGTTCAATAATCTCCACTTCTGTTGGATCACCTTTCTTGGGTATGGGAACAAATGGTATACATAGGCTTACAAATAGAGCCAGAAATGCACAACCAGGGGAGGATAACATTGACAAGTGGCACCTTCTAAAAATTAAGTCCCTGTGTGCATAAAGAACTTTTTTTCAAAAGGTGAAAATAAAACCTACTGACTGGGAAAAAAATATTTGGAATGCCATCTCAGACAACGGTCTGTTTCATTCAAAAATTCATTGCCATTGAGTTGGGCTGACCCCTCAGTGAGTTTTCAAAGATTATTAATTGCATGGGAGGAGATTGCTCATCTTTTTCCCACAGATGGTGTGTTCCAGCTGCATGTTTTTAACTTGGCAGTGTATATGTTTACCCAGAATGCCACCAGAGTTCCCTATGGTAGCATTTATTTAGGAAATAAAAAGAAATAATCTAAATTCTTCACAAACTTTCATTAAAATCTCAATAAGGATCTAAAAAATAATCTACATAATATGTCAAGAGAAGTTAAGAAAAGCTGGTTCTAATTCTTCTTTTCTAAAAATAAGACCATCTCATTATTAGTCTGTATGTAGCAATTGTCTTCTATTTTTATTGTCTACATGTTTTTATGCGTGAACATTAACTAGAGTACTGAAGGGAATGGTTATCCTTTCGAGTAGATATTATTCTCTCATTGTCAACCCAGAAATTTATGTTTTTGTTTCTGTGACTATACCACATGGTTTGATCTCTGAAATAATTTCTTTTTCTTTTCTTTCAATAACTCTCTGAAATTACTTGGAAAGTAATGTAAAATGTCCAAAGAATTGAAGTTAATGTCATGACAGATACTTCTATGTGTTTGTCTTTGCCCAGAATTATCTAGAAAAATTCTACCAATTGCCCAAGACTCAAATTCTGTTTGAAAGGAAAAACGGCACTACCATGATTGTGGAAAAGCTTAAAGAAATGCAGCAGTTTTTTGGGTTGAAAGTAACAGGGAAGCCAGATGCTGAAACCCTGGAGATAATGGAAAAGCCTCGCTGTGGAGTGCCTGATAGTGGTGATTTTATGTTGACCCCAGGAAACCCCAAGTGGGAACACACGGACCTGACCTACAGGTGACATTTCTTGAGTTTCAGAATTCATTTAGTCAGCTAGTTCTTAAGATGTGCCAGCCACTATTCTAGGCCTAATGAGATATATCAACTTTGGTGAAGTTTAAGATCCTACTGACTTAGTATGAGAATAATATTGAGAAGTTTATGGAATATTTTTATCCCAAAGCCTGCCACATTTTGTCTTTCTTCATCAACAATCTAAAGATACCCATGTTGAAGTGAGATTGCCTTTTTAAGCACTTATTGTTGGTATGTGTCATCGAGTTGACTGTGACTCACAGTGCCCCAATAAACAACAGATATGAAGTTCTCTCTGTCTCGTGCCATCCTCATTATCTCAGATATACTTGAATCTGTTATTAGAAGCACTGTCTCAATCCATCTTGTTGAGTGTTTTCCTCTCTTTTGTTGCCCCTCTACCTTTCTTAGCATGATGTCCTTCTCCAAGGACTTCCTCTCCTAACAACATGCCCAAAGTATGTGAGACCATGTTTCACCAGGGTTGCCTCTAAGAAACACCCTGATCACACTTTCTCCAAGACAGACTTGTTTGTTCTTTTATCAATGTCCATGAGGTATTTAATACTTATCTCCAACACCACAACTCAAACACATCAATTCTTCTTCTACTATCATCCTTAGTCATTGACCAACTCTCAGTGCATATTAAGTAAATTAGAAGACCATGACTTGTATCAGAAGCACCTTAGTCCTTAAGCTGACACCCTTACTCTTTAGTACTTTGGTGAGATCCCTGACAGAAGATTTTTCCAATGTAACATGTATTTTGATTTCTTGACTACTAATACCAGAGATTTTGACTAGGGATCAAAGTAAGGTTAAATTATTGATAATTTTAATATTTTCTCCATGTATCTATAAATTGCCCGTAGGTCAGTGGTGAGGATTTTTTTTTATTTCTTTAAATTGAGATATAATCCATTTTGGAGTGGAGCACTCACTTAAAAACCCAAAAATTATTTAATCATCACTGTCAAGAACCTAGATCATAGTTGTTTATATATCTTGATGATAATAATAATGATCTGTGGTGGTTAATGTTATCAGCTAGACTTGGCTTTGTTTCCCCGTAGTTTAGTCAAACACTAGTCTAACTGCTGCCATGGGCCTTGAGTAGAGTAGATTACCTTATATAATATGATATAATTACCGTAAGCTAGTCTTGGAGAAAGTGCAACCAGGGTACTTTTTGAAGGCAAGGATGATAAAGCTTCATCCCACATATTTTGGGCATGTTGTCTGGAGGGTCAGTCATTGGGCAAGAACATCATACCTAAAAAGATGGAAAGTCAGTGTAAGAGAGGATGACTCTTAACAATATGGATTGACACAACAATTGTAACAATAGGTTCAAGTATAGCGGAGATAGTGAGGATGGAACACAATAGTACATATTTCAGTCATTCTTAGGGTCTTTATGTGTTATGGTCAACTTGATGGCATCTGATAACAACAGAAGTGCAATGCACTACAATCTCCTTCCATAATGTAATTCAACAAAATCATCACTGCACCGGAAAGGAAGTTTCTTCGAAGTGTTGTGCACACACAGACATAAATCAGCATTTGGCAGAATTTTCACTTTACTCCACTTTCCAAATTTTTAAAAACGTTTATGTTCCAAATACTGAGTTATACCTGTATTAAATCCACATAACACCTAATGGGAGAGGTGCTATTTTATTGTCTTTATTTTATGTACAAGGAAACTGAACCTTAAAGACATACAGTAACTTTTTTCAAAATCTTGGAATTGATAAGTTCAAACTTCAGACCTGAGCCCATGCCTGTCCTCAACCCAGAATCCTACATCCATTTTTTATATCGTCCCCACTGGCAGCACATCATGAATGCAAGCCCCTCCAAGACAGAACAAATCCATCTGTTGATAACCAGTCCTTTCAGACAATAATGACCTTTTCCCACACCTCATTTTGAAGGATTAGAAATTATCCCTCAAGCTTAGCAGAGTCTGATGTGGAAACAGCTATAAAAAAAGCCTTTCAAGTATGGAGTGGTGCGTCACCCCTGACCTTCACCAGGATCTTCAAAGAAAAGGCAGACATCGAGATTGGTTTCGTCATGAGAGGTACTCTCAAAGCAATCACCCAAATTTCACTTTTCATGGCTAACCTAAGAATCAGCAAGAACATGAGGTGAACTGTTCTCTTTCAGATCATGGAGACAACTCTCCATTTGATGGACCCAATGGCATCCTTGCTCATGCCTTTCAACCGGGACAAGGTATCGGAGGGGATGCTCATTTTGATGAGGAAGAAACATGGACTACAACTTCTCAAAGTAAGTTAGCAAAGACTCTGTCCACATGTAGCTTTTCAAGGAACCTTTTCTATGCTGTAGTCATTGCCCACATCCAAATAATTGTAATATTTAAACTGACCAATGAAAATTTTGGCTACTTTAAGAGATCAAGTTAATTTAGTTTAAATAGCCCGAAACTATTTATTGACATTATTTTCTATGGCGAGCATAAGTAAATTCCCATCTGGACATTATTTTCAAAGATAAGGTTTTATTGAATTAAGTTCACACTCATTTGTATCCATCTAGTCCATGGCTGCTTTCAGTCCATAGAATTGAATAGTTGTGGCAGAGACCACATAACCTACAAAAGCTAAGATATTTTCTACCACCGGACCAATCGATAGCATCAGGATGGATGGTGAAGAGATTGACAGTGTTCACAGCTTCAGTTTGCTCGGCTCCACGGTCAACACTCTTGGCACCAGCAGCCAGGAAATCAAAAAACGTATTGCATTGGGAAAGTCCGCAGTTAGGGACCTCTCCAAAGTACTGAAGAGCAACGGTGTCTCTCTGGAGACTAAGGTCCACCTGATACAGGCCATGGTTTTTGCAATCACTTGTTATGCATCAGAGAGTTGGACAATGACTAGGGAGGATAGAAGGAGAATTGACGCCTTTGAGCAGCTGTGGTGCTGGAGAAGAGTATTGAATGTACCATGGACTGCCAAGAAAACAAACTGATTCATCGTAGACAGGGTTAAACCAGGCTGCTCCTTGGAGGCAAGGATTCTGGGGCTTCGCCTGACATACTTTGGACATGTTGTAAGGAGAGACAGGTCTTTAGAGAGGGACATCATGCTGGGTAGAGTGGAGGGACAGCGCAGGAGGGGAAGACCCTCTATGACGTGGATTGATTCAGTGACTGGGGTAATCGGGATGGGTGTGTCAGAGGCAATGAGATTGGCACAGGATAGAGCAGGGTTTAGGGCTGTTGTACATAGGGTCGCTATGAGTCGCAAACGACTCGACGTCACATAACAACAACAACAACAACCTTCATTAAATTTTAAAATCTCAAAACAAAGATAAGCTTTTCATATTTTGAAATGTAAAGTTTCGGAAAGCGTTCTTTTTAAAAAAAAATCAGGAATGACTGAGTTTGTTTATAAAAATTGCCCTACTGGCATAGTCTTTGGACAGGTGCACGGCTGACCCAGAGGTGGTGCCCTTCTTGTGGTTTGAATCCACCCGTTATATCTCAGAAGAGAACTGCGAAGCCTCCTAGCATATGATTCACAGCCTCCAAAAATCTGTTGTAGTGTCAGTTATGAGCTGGTTCCAACTGGACAAAAAGGAGAGTTCAAGTATTTATAAAAGAGTAGACACCTTTTCCATCTTGTTATTATATTTTCCAAAGCTCCTTTTCAGTGATATGTTTCCACATTGCCAACCACTTCCTTCAGGAGAAGGAGCATAATAAAAAAGATGGGTAAGAGAGCAATAAGGGGTTTCTCCCTTTCCTAAAACTGTCTGGAGAGCTCACTAACAGTGAAGACCTAGTGCTAGGATTTGGGTGATCAGGGGAGATCCAAAATGAGTCCACCAAACATCCGGGTCTCCACTGCCCAGCTGGCTTGCCTTCTAAACTATTCACTGAGACTGTGGGCCTGAGAGGCTGAAGGAGATTTGGTGTAGGAGCACAAGAGAAGTAGAGCTCGGAAGCACACGTGTGACTTGTGATAATTAACTACTAACAAGAGATTTGACTATCATTTCTCTGACTTTGAGGTCCAAAGCCATAAAATGTGGAGATTGAATTATTGCAGCTTTCCTTGGTCCTTAGATTTGATCAGAATCTTATACGCACCAAACCTCAGCCTGGGACTCTGAGCTTGATTCCCCTCAATCTCCTTTTCTTTGTGTACTTGAAAGGAATGTGGGAAAGATGGAATTGGGAGAATTGTTCTTCCAGGCAGTTTTGAGTTGAAAGCTACTTTCTTTGAGATTATATTTCCATTGCCCATAGAACCACTCACCATGCCCAATTTCATTTCAGATTACAACTTGTTTCTTGTTGCTGCTCATGAATTTGGCCATTCGTTGGGGCTCTCCCATTCTTCTGATGCTGGTGCCTTGATGTATCCCACCTATGCTTTCTCAGATCCCAGCACATACTTGCTCCCTCAAGATGATATCAATGGCATCCAGGCCATCTACGGTAAGGTCACCTGAGGAACACAACTTAATGCTCAGTGGGAGCTGGGAATAGACCTCAACTCAGGATCTGAGCATCTCTCACTCTGCACTTCTGTTATATGTCCTTTGCTGAAAAATTTCAACCAGACTGATGAAAGTTACCTGTAGCTAACACAACACTAAGGAAAGGGGCTTGGAAATGTTGAGCTCAGCCCCCATTGCTGCTTTGAAGAAAATGGTAGGAATAAATGCACCGCAATCATCCCTAATAGTTGTCTCTAGAAGGCAGTAGTTTGATTTGAGGTTCTACCCTCACTCCACTCCTCTTTGTTTTCCAAGTTTTATAGATTAAACAGAAAACAAATCTATAGCTGTCTCTTCTGATACTATTCTGACCCTCAGTATATTTTTCTCCTTGAAAATCTCACATAGCTCTACAACAGGACATGTGGATGTTCCCTTCAGTATAGTTTATGGTGAAGGGAGTTGGAAGGACACTGAAGGTCTAACATGAAGAGAGCATGCAGATAAAATGGAATAGATGCAGACCCTGGAGTATTGTGTAGTTGTCAGAAGCAGTGAACCAGATGTGTTTATGGCAATGAACAGATGACTCTTTCAAACATTGTGCTTAGTTAAAAAGAAACAAAATGATACATATTATACACTATGTAAATTGTATTACATAGCTATGTAGGTTTATAAAAATTTTAAAAATAGATAAGCAAAACATAGTCTTTTCAAGAATATATACTAAAGATGTACGTACACCCATGTTTATTGCTGCATTCTTCACAATAGTAAAAAGAAGGAAGTGATCTAAGTGCCCACGAACAAAGGAATGGCTAGAACAGCTGTGGGACATTCACACAATCGAATACTATGCAGCACTGAAAACCAATGAAATAGTAAAACGTGACACAACATTGGGGGGCCTGGAGGACATTATGCTAAGTGAAATATCTCAGTCACAAAAGGACAAATACTGCATATCACTACTGCTATAAAATAGGAGAGACATGAGGTGGGATTGGGAAGGCAAGGGGGAAAGAGTGGTTAAAGAACACGGCATTAGATGATAGGAATAACTGTCCAAAAGGAATATACGTTATACGTTATATGTGTGAGAATATCTGGAACAAGGTGGGCTGGAAAAGGGGTGGGGAAATAGGCAAAAAATTGTCTGTGGAGACAAGAAGGGAATAGAAGCAGAAAATGGGGAGTAAAGGGAACATCTGTTTTTAAGCATGTGACTGGTGCTTCTAAGAGGGTTTTAGCACTTTGGGCTGTGTTGTACTGCCTGGGTCCAACCACCACATCTCTCCATCTTGTCCTCCTCACTCCAATTCTTTGTAAGAAAGAAAAGAGAACAAGGAAGAGTGTTCGTTGGTTGGTTGGTTGGTTGGTTGGTTGGTTGGTTGGTTGGTTGCTATTAAGAGTAGTTTTGACTCAGAGCAACTCTAAGTGACAGAGTGGAGCAGCCCCATAGAGATTTCTAGGCAGCCCTTTTACAGCAGTCACCAGATTTTTTTTTTCTCTCATGAATCTGCTGGGTGAGTTTGAATGCCCATCATTCAGCTTAGTGTTCAGTTAGTTAGAGTGGAGTGGAGTGGAGTGGAGTGGAGTGGAGTGGAGAAAACCACTCTCTAATCTGATGGGGTCACTCACTCACTCATTGTCATCAAGTTGAAACTGACTTAAATCTGACCCTCTAGTGGGTTTTCAAAGGCTGCAGACCTCACAGGAGGAGACTGCCCAGCTTTTCCCCTCAGACCAACTGGTGCTGCCTGACTACAAGAATACCACAACCATGGAATTTCTTCCATGAATATAAAAGTATTGCAAACCTCCTTATTTTGCTTACCAATACTTTTAAAAATTCTCTTAATTAGTACCATAGCCCTTAAGTCTACAAAATGAGTAAAGCAAAAATGTTGTTGTTGTTAAGTGCCATCGAGTCGCAGGTGACTCATAGCGACCCTATGAATGAAAGTCCTGGACACCTCCTCTGTAACCGTCATCCTTTCTCCAGGTTCATAGGGTTTCCAGAGGCAAGCTGTTGTGGAAGTGGATGCCACTACTGCTTTCAAGCTTGCTTTAATCAGGGAGCTTCACCAAATACTGTCCACCATGGGTAACCATTCAAACAAAAATACTTTAAAAATATATATATATGACTAAAACTCAATTTAGATTTACACTGTGGTATAAGATTGATAACTGGATCTTTCCCAGTTTGGGAAGCGAGGAGGAGTTAATTATTACTGAGTGAAACCAAGGGGGGAAGAGGGAAACGATGAGAACGATGAGAAAGAGATGCAGGGAAGTAGGATATTCCTTTTCCACAAAGAATGGAATTAAAATTCAATTTATTCACAACTTAACCTGAAACTGACTCTGAAGATCATCATTCTTCTTAATAAAAATAGATTCTTAAAAAAAAAAAACATAAGAAGGCCAAATCTATAGTTATTTTAATACCTGTTGGGATAGTCTGACATTTCTCTTCACATAAAAATCCTGCATCTTCCTGAAAAGTATCTGTAGTACCATAGTAGGCATGCTTAACTTTGCTTTTAAAAAGCCGTACTATGTTTTGTTTGTTTGTTGTTTTTTTTTCAACCAGGGCCTTCAAGCAACCCTATTAAACCCACCGGGCCAAGCACTCCCACAGCCTGTGACCCCAAATTAACATTTGATGCTGTCACTACACTCCGAGGAGAAATATTCTTCTTTAAAGACAAGTAAATGATTGAATTCTCATTTTTACTTCCCTTACTGGCGTAATTTAAAATTGGCTTATAATTAAGTCACACGTTTCCCAATTTGTCTATTGACTTTGACACATACTCATTTCACTGGATTTTTAGTGTTCTCTGGAGAATTAAAACAAAATATATTGGGAGTGAATAAAAAGATTGATTAATAAAATTGATAGTTTTTGGAGTAACGTAAATAGACATGGACTGTGTCTGTTTGAAAACTCCATAGCTGGATTTACCTAACACTAAACCAGCATTCAATTCTACTCAAAATTAATCTAGTGATTGTTTCTATAGTGTAGTGGTTATCACATTTTCCTAACACAATCAATCTAGTAAATTGGAGCCTTCACTGGCTATGGGGCCTCTCTAACTGCCTGGGATGTTCATGCTTCCTTGCACTATTTTGTGATGATGAAGTTAAAAACTGGCCTCCTGGTGTTACAAACATTAAAGCATTTACCTTAAAACCTAAAGGATGATGTGAACCCAAGCAAGAGGTACATTAAAAGAAAGGCATCTCTTCCGGAGACCACAGTCCTGAAACCCCTAAAGCACAGTTTGACCCTGCAACACATGGGTCTGCCAAGAGTTAAAATCAATTTTATGAAAACTAGTTTAGGAATCTTGTTCATTCATTTGTTGATTTGTTTTTGTAATCAGAGATTTAGTCTGTTTGCTGTTGCCAGCTGTTGATGGCTATATAGTTTATCTGTTTTTGGAAACAATAATGAACAACACTAATGAGGAAGGGACAGTGCAAAATGGAATAAAATAACACTACGCTTGTGGACAACTCTGAGGACTATTAAGTGCTCAACAAGTACATGATACCAGCATCAACTCTGTCAGATATATGGGCATTGGGCTGGGAATTTTGTTAATTATTATGTTATATTCTCCCAGAAATCTTACGACATGTCATTACCATCTAAAACTTACAGAAACTAGCTATTAAACAGAGGGGTTTGGGGTGGTGTAATTCTTTTCCCCTCTTCATGCTTTTTTAGATACTTCTGGAGGAGGCATCCTCAGCTACGAAGTGTCCAACTAAACTTCATCTCTCTGTTCTGGCCATTCCTGGCGAACGGAATACAGGCTGCTTATGAGGACTTTGATAGGGATCTAGTTTTCTTATTTAAAGGTAATTGTCCATTTCTTTGACCCTACCCGCTTCTGTACCATAATGCTCTGTAATCATGTCAAGTCAAGTACCTTCTTCAAACCTCGGTTTTCTTGTTCAAGGAATGAGCAGATCACACTAGGCAATCCTTAGTGCTTCTCCACATCCACATAGATATAATATTTTAAGATCTCTTCAAGTTTCAATTTAGCCTCTATATGGAAGTCATGTGAGAAGAAACATCCTTGAATATCAGGCTAAAACATTTTCATTTCTGGCATATCATAGGCCCTTAGTCTTAATTTTATCGTCTTTCTCATTTCAAGACTATTTGTTCTGTAATGTGTTTAATTGTTATGCTGTTTTGGTATAAGTGGTGTGTATTATTCTGTACAAACAGAAGAACTCTATCTAACATTTAACTTGAACCAGGAAACCAATACTGGGCTCTGAATGGCTATGATATCCAGAAAGGCTACCCCAGGCACATATCAGAGTATGGCTTCCCCACCAGCATCCAAGCTATCGATGCCGCTGTTTTCTACAGGGGGAAAATACACTTCTTTGTAAACAATCAGTTCTGGAGGTAAGACACATTTGGTTTTTCTCAACAAAAGTTGAAATCTGTGTTTCTTTACCTTCTCTACAAACTACTAAAGATAATAGAAAATCAGCTATCTGAAGATTATAAACGTCTAGGTGGTCTTTGAAAAAACTTAACTCACTGCCATCGAGTGGCTTCCAACTCATAGTGGACTTACATGAGGGCTCTGATGCTGCACAGCTTTACAGAAGAAGGGTGCTCATCCTTCTTCCAAAGAGCAAGAGCTAAACATTTAACACAGTACATCAGGGCTCCTTTATCAAGTGTTGTTGTTGTTGTTGTTGTTGTTGTGTGCCTTGTAGTGGGAGCCCATACATAGGTGACCCTCCAGCAAGTTTTCAGAGGCAGTTAACCGCACAGAAAGAGACTGCCCATCCTTCTCCCTCAGAGGAGCTGGTGAATTCAAACAGCATGAATTTGGGATTGCAGTGCTCGTTTTTACCCCTAAATCACTAGACAGAGTTTAGTCAAAGAATATTTTTTAAAAAAATATATTGTGATTGTTAGTCTTTTGCTGTTGCAAATTTCATTTTCATTAATATAAATGCTTAGTGGCACAGGGGGTTCTATGCCAAGGACAAAGCAAACCTTAAAAGAAACACTAGGGTAGGTAGGAAGAGAAAAAGGAGGCTGAGTCTCTTTTCTGAGTTAAATTCTAACACTCAGATATAATGGCTACCCAGTCTGGTGCTCAAGTTGGATTTATTTTCATTTATACATCCAGACAAGTTATATCAATTAAGTACAACTCTTAGCAACTATAAGTTCTTAATTTAAAGCTACTGCATCAATTTGTAACCATTTTTAAACCACTCAACAGTCACTCAGTCAGTTCTGAATTGTGGTGACCTTCCACTGGGTTTGCAAGGCTGTAAATCTTTATGGTAGGGGGCTGCCTATCTTTCTTCCTCCAAATAGCTGGTGGATTCAAACCACCACCAACAATCCAACACATAATGCATTATGTCACCATTGCTCCTTAATAACATTCATCTTTTCAAAATGTGCATTTACACTTGAGAGAAGGTAGCCATTCTTAATATTTGTAAAGAGAACAGTGTGAAGACTGGTTGAGAAAATATATATGAAAGAACTTTTAAAGAATGTGCAATTTAAAGAAAACTGCTTTCATGATATATTATACTTGTTTTTAAGATATACTTTAAGTGTGCAATGTTTTTTCCTCAGATATGATAGTGAAAGACAATTCATGGAACCAGGTTATCCCAAAAGTACAGCAAGTACTTTTCACGGAATAGAAAGTAGTAAAGTGGATGCTGTTTTCCATCAAGATCGTAAGTAGAAAAAAAATAATAACTATTTAAGATTTCTTTATTTTCTTTTATTTTATTTTTTTAATAATTTTAATGAACATCTACAGAGAATCTGGATCTCCATCCACCCACTGCTGCACTTCTCTCCCCGCCCAGCCCTCTCCCCCGGCCCCCCAGTTCGCTTTAAGATTTCTTTTAATAATATATTCCAATAGGATATTACATTAAGACAAGAGAGGTTTTCAATTGAAAATATCTGAAATTTTATATCTGTAGACTAATTCGATGAATTTTCTCTTTTTAAAAAATAGATGTCTTCATTTTCTTCAGTGGGTCAAGATATTATGCCTTTGATCTCAACACTCGTAGAGTTATCAGAGTTGGCAGAAGCAATAAGTGGCTGAACTGTAGATAAGGTTTAAGCAAATTAAATGTGTTTGAATGCATTTTCTAAATGTTATTAGTAGGCAAATGAATTTTCATATTCATCGCATAATTTTCTGTTTATATTTTCTCAACAATAAGTAGCACTGTTGTTTATCATCACTGTATTCATTGGGATGGAACTCAATGAAATCCATTTGGAAAACTGTACTGAATCACTTCTTACATAACCCATCTTGGGTTAGTGAACCTATCACAATAAAACCACAAAAGAGTAAACCTTCCTTTTTAAACCTCAATGTTCACTATTTCATTCCTTGCTTATTTGACTTCTAAAATGCTCCTATGTCCCTAAGTTTCCTTAAGTATTTCTTAAGTATATCCACTAAACAATTTAACATAAGATTTAAATTAGATTACAAACAATGTAGATAGTGCACCCTCATGAAAGATCTGGTGACTTGTTTCTACAAAGACAAACAAAACTCACCTCACTGTCATCCAGTTAATTCTGTCTCATAGCAATACTCTAGGACAGAGGAAAGTTGCTGCCTTTACTCTGGTTTTCAAGCCTGTAATCTTTATTATAACCTTCAATATAGATCATATTTCAACATCAAGAAAAAGAAACTTCACTACTGGGTGAGTAGACGACATCATAATTGTTGTTGCTATGTGCTGTCGAGTCGCTTGTGACTCATAGTGAACCTATGTACAACAGCCCTAAACCCTGCTCTGTCCTGTGCCAATCTCACTGTCTCTGACACTCCCACCCCAATTACCCAATCACTGAATCAATCCACCTCATAGAGTGTCTTCCCCTATTGTGCTGTCCCTCCAACCTCCCAAGCATGATGTCCTTCTCAAAGGACCAGTCCCTCCTTGCAAATGTCCAAAGTATATCAGCTGAAGCTTCAGAATCCTTGTCTCCAAGGAGCAGCCTGATTTAACCCTCTCCAGGTCAAACATGTTTGTTTTCTTTGGAGTCCATGATACATTCCATACTCTTCCTCCACACCACAGCTCAAAGGCTATCCTCCCTAGTCATTGTTCAGCTCTCTGATGCATAGCAAGTGATTGAAAAGACTATGGCCTGTAACAGGAGCACCTTAGTCTCCAGAGTGATACCATTGCTCTTTAGTACTTTGGAGAGGTCCCTAACAGCAGACTTTCCCATTGCAATATTTCTTTTAATTTCTTGGCAGCTAGTGCCAAGTGTCGATTTTGGAGCCAAGAAAACTAAAACTGTGAACAATCTCAATCTCTTCACCATACACCCTGATGCTGCTAATTGGCCCAGTGATGAGAATCTTTATCTTCTTGATATTGAGCCTTAATCCATATTGAAGGCAGCAGTCCTTAACCCTCTGCAGCAAGTACTTCAGGTCTTCCTCAGTTTCAGTAAGCAGGGTTGTGTCATTGTTGATGAATCGTCCACCAATCCTGATGCCACACTTCTCCTCATACAGTCCAGCCTTTCAGATAATCTGTTCTACATACAGATTGAAAAGGTGTGGAGATAGGACACATCCCTGGCTTACACTCTTCCCAATTTTGAACCATGCAGTGTTTGCTTGTTCTGTTCTGACGACTGCCTCCTGGTCAAGTATGGGTTTCACATTAGCATGATCAAGTGTTCTGGGATTCCCATTCTTCTCAGAGTCAGCCACAATTTGTTAAGATCCACACAGTCAAACTCCTTTACACAATCAATGAAACAGAGGTAGACATTCCTCTGATATTCCCTGCTTTCAGCTAAGATCCATCTAATATTAGCTACAATATCCCTAGTACCACGACCCCTTCTAACATCATAATAGATGGAGAAAATATTGGCATTGTCAACTATTTCATTTTGCTTGAATCCACAGTCAACACACATCCATGGTAAGAGCAGTTAAAAAATCAAAAGATGTGCTGCACTGGACAAATCTGCTGTCACGAACCCCTCCAAAGTGCTAAAGAACAACTATATCAGTTTAAAAATTAAGGTGTGTTAAGGTGTATCTGACCAAAGCCATGGTTCTGTGCATCTGAAATCTTGACAATGAACAAGAAAGATAGTTAAAGAGTTGATGCCTTTGAATTGTGGTATTGGTGAAAAGTGTTGAATAACTATCCCAAGGATTAAAGAAAGAACAAATCTATCTTGGACGAAGTGCAACCAGAGTACCTTAGAAGCAAAGACAGTGAAATTTCATCTCACAGACTTTGGGCATGTTGCTCAAGAGTTGCCAATCCTTGGAAAAAGACATCATGCTGGGAAAGGTAGGAGGTTTCGAGAGAGGAAGACTGTCAGTGAGATGGATTGACAGTGATTACAACAATCGGTTTGAGTGTGGCAAAGATTGTGATGAAGGCACAAGATAAGGGAAGGGTAAGCTCTGTTGTTCACAGGGGCATTATAAGTTACAGTCGACTCAATGGCACCTAAAATAAAAATCTTTACGGGTACAGACCTCTTAAAGTTAAACAACAAAATAGGTGAAAGCTTCAAATCACTGACCTTTTAGTTAACAGCCCAGTTATTTATCATCCCACTATGAAGACTCATTTTCTATAAAGAGAATAGCCTGGGGAATCCTATAAAGCCGTTGTACTATGTCCTCCACAGCAAGGTGTGCTGCTAACTCAAAAGTTGTGCATCTCTAGTGATTCTAATCCACCAGTTGCTTTGAGGAAAGTAGTCTGTTTCCTCTCATGACTCTTTACAGCTTTGGACATCCAATGGAGGGTATCAATGAATCAGAATCAACTCAACAGCAGTGAGTGAGACCAAAGTGAATTTCCAAGGAACCCTAGTGGCAGAGTGCATAATGAAAGTGTCAGGCTTCTAATCAAAACAAATTGATGGCATTTCAAATCCCCTCGCATAAAATGAGCAATCTCCTTCCATAAAGAAATTACTTCCACTCTTGCTTTCCTCATCTCTCTCTCTGGATTCCAGGTAACTGGCTACTTCAATCTGTTCCTCACTTATCTCTAGATGAGGCTTTTATCTACTTAAAAATAAATGAGATTTGTTACACCAACATGACAGTTCTGGAAATAAAATTCAATAAATCTCATTGAACTGAACAGTATGAAGACATATATTTCTTAGTGGTGTCTTTCTGCTAACAAACTGTAGATGTAGACCTACAATATCTAGTTCAGATATTAAAAAGGTCATATTTGCAGTTAATATATATGCCGTTTCTTCTACAAACATTTGTATTTTATAAAATATATTTCTCCTGGTGCGTTCTGTTTTCTGTCTCATTAAAATGTCTTTAGATTCCACAAATAACTGAGTATAACTTGCTGCTTATTCTGGTTCAAAACTAATTTGGTAAATGAATTTGAAATAAAGATTTACTTTTGAAATTATACGCTGTTTTGTGATGTACTTGAAATTTTTTTAAATACTATATGTTGTTGTTTGTTGTTATGTGCTATCAAGTCGCTTGCAACTCATAGCGACACTATGTACAAGAGCTCTAAATGCCATTCTATCCTGTGCCAACCTAGCCATCTCAAACACACTCATTCCTACCACTCCAGTCACAGGATTGATCCATCTCATCAAAGGTCTTCCTCTCCTTCACTGTCCCTCCACGCTGCCAAATATGTCCCTCTCCAAGGACTGATCCCTCCTTACAACATGCCCAAAGTATGTCAGATGAAACTTCAGAATTCTTAACTCCAAGGAGCATTCCAGCTTCACCCTCTCCAGGACAAGCCTGTTTGTTCTCCTAGCAGTCCATAGTATATTCAACACTCTTCTCTAGCACCACAGCTCAAAGGCATCAATTCTCTTTCTATAACCCCTATTCACTGTCCAACTCTCTGATGCATAGCACATAATTGCAAAGACTATAGCCAGGATCAGGTGCCTTGTGTCATTGCTCTTCAGTACCCTTGAGAGGACCCTCACAGCTGACTTTCCCAATGCAATTCACCTCCTGATTTCCTGGTTGCTGTTACCAAAAGTGTTGACTATGGAGCCAAGTAAACTAAAACTGTTAACTACCTCAATCTCTTCACCATCCATACTGATGCTGCCAATTGGCCCAGTGGTGAGGATCTTTGTTTTCTTAATGTTGAGCTTCAATCCATACAGGAGGCTGCAGTCCTTGATCTTCTGCAGCAAGCGCTTCAGGTCCTCCTCAGTTTTAGCAAGCAGGGTTGTGTCATCTGCACAACGCAGGTGTTGATGAATCTTCCACCAATCCTGATGCCACATTCCTCCTCGTACACCCCAGAGTCTCGGATAATCTGTTCTCCATACAGATTGAAAAGGTATGGAGACAGAATACATCTCTGACGGACCGCCTTCTTGATTTTGAACCATGTAGTGTCTCCTTGCTCTGTTCTGATGACTGCCTCTTGGTCCAAGTATAGGTTTCACATTAGCACAATCGAATGTTCTGGGATTCCAATTCTTCTTAGAGTCAGCCACTGCTTGTTGTGATCCACACAGTCAAAAGCCTCTGCATAGTCAATGAAGCACAGATAGACATTCTTTTGGTATTCTTTGCTTTCTGCCAAGATCCATCTAACATTAGCTATAATATCCATAGTACCACGACCTCTTCTAAATGCAGCCTGCACATCTGGCAGTTCTCTGTTGACATATTGTTCCAAACGTTTTTGGATAATTTTCAGAATAATGATTGCATGTGATATTAATGATATTGTTCGATAATATCCAATATATTCAGATAACAATAAACCTTGAAATATTGTTTACTTGCTTATGAATTATTTTGTCACTATATAATAGCCTCCAAAATGTTTCTTGGATTTACCATGACATTATGTTCAACTAACTTCGTTTATAAAATGAGTAAACAGAAATTAGTGTTTACTATCATTAAATTCACTCATTTAGTCAACATGAAATAATCACTTACATCCATTAATTTCAAGTGCTACATAATTAGCATGTGTTTTCTAAAACTCCTTGCAAGTTTAGGCTTTTAACAGTTACAAAAGTGGAAGACTCACTTCTCAGAATACCTGTTAGTTATGCTATCAGAGATTTTTAGCCCAGACCTCATTTACAGTTGTTTTAGATGATAACTGAGCTCATATTCATTCTTCAACTGTATCTGACAAAGATGTAGAAAATTATCTGCAATATGAAGTATAACGAGGAATTAAAAACTGAATTATTCCTTTTTTAATTCTCTTCTTGAAAATATGGTATTTTCTGGCTGTCATATTGAAGTTTTATGTGATTGGAAGAGATGTAAGAATCTAAGCTTAGAACTTAAAGTCATGTGATTACTGTCCTTCTTATATTTTCTTTGAAAGTAGAGCTCAAGACATGAAGACCTTGAGGCAATTGTTTTATTCTGAATCTGAGCCCAGCAAACAAAGTAACAAACACTGGGAAACAGAGACAGAGCTTCAAACTAGTTTCAACTGGTTTAGTCATGGTCGATGAAGTGAAACCTAAACAAAACTTTCAAAAATTTAGGTGATCCATAATACAATGTGAACAGGAAAAAGTAAGCATCAAATCCCTGGAATGGGAGACTCAAAAGAGACGTAATACCTTTCAGGAATCTGACAGGTGATACTGGATTATTGCCAGGAGTGTGGACAGTGACACACAGCTCAAAGTGGTGTGGTTGGCTGCCATCTTTGAGCTGGGTACCCCTGTTTCAAACTCAGTCATTTAAGAGATTTCGTTGCTCTGCAGTGTGCATGTCATCTTTGTTTTCTAAGAGGGAAATGAAATATCTAATAAAGCTTCCACTCTTATTTTCCACCCTGGTTAGTGTTCTGGTTCATTTATGTTAGTTGTGAATGCTATTGCACGTAACTATCCTAAGCTGATTTTTTTTTCCAAGCT